AAGAGATCAATACATTTCTGCAACAGGAAACTACATGCAGGTGAGTGGCAGTTTTATTAAAACTAGATCTCCTTGTGGTTGTCGCCTGGTGGCCCTTTAAAGGGGTTCTAACGCTGAGAGTTGGAGGTGGGCTTCGCTATCATGTGATCACTGTGATTGGCAGTCACATGATCAGGAGCCTTTTGCACCAGCTTCCCTTCCTGACGGTGACAGCTCAGTCACTGCGCTAGTAAGCGTGTTCAAAGCACAGAACAGCAGGTGGCTGCCTTATTGACACACTCTCTTTGGCGTAACAAATATATGCGTCCCCCCCAGCAGGTGGACGCATATATTTGTTACGCCAGTGGTAAAATGTTAATAAGGCAGAGCAAGGTGCAATTACGTGTAGCAACCAGACCTCAGTTTGCCGTAGTCATAGCAGATAAAACAGAGAGCTGCTGCTCAGATGGCACGGCGTACAGCAATTTGCCTTATTGAATAGGCCTAAACATGTCGCTGGAATGCTCAGTACGTCAAGAAATATCAGAACATTACCATAAACACAAAGCTCTTTTGCTAGCTGAGGAGAATGGATTGGATCCACAACTAATTTGTTTATAAACACGCAGAACATAATGCAAAGTAGGGTCTGGTTGGATGTTCGGGTGAACAGCTGGGTCACATGAGACGGCGCACAGTCCAATTTGTGTATGAAAATGTTTGCTAAGGGTTTTCCACAGCAACCCCAAAGGAATGTTTGTTTCAACTTCTTAAAGGATCAGTCCACCCTTGGTTTGTGGTAGATGCTAAGAAGGTAAACAATCTTATATTTTCTCTGGGGTTTTTTTGTATGTTTAATCTTATGACTATATTGGTAATATCCATTTGCCAGGCTCCTGAGTCTGTACACCTTCTGTTCCTGGGTCTGTACACCTGCTGTGTACATTATGAGGGGCTCCCACCATCCCTGTGCTGAGTTCCTAGATTTGTACACCTGCTGAGCCCATTACGAGGGCCTCCCACCATCCCTGTGCTGAGTTCCTAGATTTGCACACCTGCTGTGCCCATTACAAGGGCATCGCACCATCCCTGTGCTGAGTTCCTGGGTTTATACACCTGCTGTGCCCATTATAATGGCCTCCCACCATCCCAGTACTGAGCTTCTGGGTCTGTACACCTGCTGCGCCCATTATGAGGGGTTCCTACCATCCATGTGCTGAGTGCTCGGGTTTGTACATAAGCTGTGCGCATTACAAGGGCCTCCCACCATCCCTGTTGTGAGTTCCTGGGCTTGTACACCTGTTGTGCCCATTATAAAGACCTCCCAACATACCTGTACTGAGTTCCCGGGTCTGTACACCTGTTGTGTCCATTACGAGGTGCCCCTACCACCATGTGCTGAGTTTTAGGGTGTGTATACCTGCTGTGCCCATTATGGCTCCATCCCTGCTGGGTTATTTTATGGGATAGAGAATGCAATAGGAGGATCTGGAACACACAATGGGTGGAGACAACCAAAACTCCCAGGTGGACAGAAACAGAGCCGGGAATTATAGCAGGGAGATCTCAGATTTGGAGTATCCAACATCATACAATTCCAGGAGCTGATTTATCCAACCAGCCTTCATCTTCAGCTAAAACATCACTCTTGACTCGATTGACCCTTTAATGACTCTCCAGCATCAATCCATGTCCTAATTACCCCAGTTCCAATCCTAGGCAGAACACTATCTGCATGTTCTCGATGTGCTTGTGTGGGTTTCCTCTTGGTACTCCAGTTTCCTCCCACACTCCAAAGACATGCTGGAAGGTTAATAGGCTTCTGTCTAAATCAGCCCTGTATGTGAGGTAGGGACCTAAAGGTGCCCATACACTGTGCGATTGTCGCACGATAATCGCGGGAAATCCCGCGATCGTACGATAATCGCAAAGTGTATGGCAGACGTGCGACCGTTTTTACTGTACGGTCGCACGTCTTTTGTCTAAGGAGCATGTTCGAAAACCAGCCTAAAATCGTACCATTTTCGGCTGGTTTGTGGCATGCTCGGGAGACAAATGCCGAACGGGCCGGTGTGCGCACGCGCACACTGCCCGTTCAGCATTGCGGACATCAGAAACCCGCCGCTCAGCGGGGCGGGCTTGCGATGATCGCAAGTACGATCTGCCTGTCCAAGATGGGCAGATCGTACGTTTTTTTAATTACTTTACAACCATCGCAAGACTAATGTCTTGCGATGGTTGTAAAGTGTATGGCCACCTTTATAGTGTAAGCTCCTTGAGTGGGTGGACTGATGTCAATGTGCAGTAGATAAAGCACTGAATAAAAATTCACCACTATATAGATACCAGTAATAAAAAAATATGGCACTGCATAGGAAAGGCACATGTCCCACTTTGCCCATTCAGGACAAGAAACAGTGTATTAAAGGCTTCATTTGGGGGAATCCAACAAGTTTGCTATAATCCCCCTCCAGCAGCATATCCTTACCTTTACCTTCATTCCCCGGCTGCTCATTGCCAAAGGAAATAGCTGGTACTTCCAGGAATTAAGACCATGTGACAGGGGAGTCCAAACCCCATAGAGATTGCTGAGAGCAATGTAACTATTGGTATATTTAATAGACCAAAGGGGACCAAATAGGAGAAGTCCATTGCTGGGGTTTCCATACATATAATATAATGCCCTACATGGGCCCTACATGGGCAAAACACAGATAAGCTTTAAAGTTTATCTGTAGGAAAATCCTTTTTTTTAGACAGGGTGGGGAAGGAGATGTTATTGCTGTCTGTGTCCCCATTTGGGAGATTCAGCCCTCTATTTGTACTGGTGACTAATGCCACCAAGATAGAAAGTGGGGGGGAATCCGAAATTCGAGAAAATTCTAGGGAAATCTTCCAGTGGGGACACTTGTATTGGGGACAACTGTCTAAGAATAGGATTCTGCTCACTATGGGACCCAACAAGCCGCACCCACTACAGAATCCCTGCAGAAAACTACAGGAGGGGGCGGAGACAAGACCAGTCACCCTGTACATGGAGAGACAAGAGAAGTGACTGGTCTTTATTACAGGAAGCTCCTTCACAGAGGCAAAGTTTCATGCTGCATTACAGCACAGATACAGAAAAAATACACAAGCCACATCAAGATTCAAGGAAGAATACACATGATTCCTGGATTTAAACAATATTTGCTAACCCCTGAGTTTATCTATTAGGAAAATGAGAATCTATTGAAACGCTACCCGCTTTAAGGCGCTTTCAAGGAAAAATGGCTTGTTTTTGAGCCGCTTCTGATTTGCTTTTTTATTGGCTTGCACACTGATTTTTATAGAGGAAAATAAATCAAGACCTGGAGCCAAGCAAATGCAGCAATAAATGTCAACGCTGCTTTATAAGAGCTGAATCAAATACAAACAGCGCATTCCAAATCCTCCAAAACCGCTTCACAAATACAAGTCAGAAGCAAGATAATGCACTCAGACACAAAACGTAAATCACACAAACAGGCTACGTTACTTTCTTCTCCTCCAATGATTAATTTGAAGCTCAACACATGACACCAATGAATATAAGTATCTGAGCCCACCCCTTCCCCTTGCTTATGGTGCTTTCACAGAGCAGAGCATGGTAAGCTGCATGACATCACACAAGCAGATTTTTTTTCTCTGGTACAACCCTAATAGCGATGATTTACTGAGAATAAATGGTCCAACCTGGAAACAAACACGGATGGTCAAAATAAAAATAAAAAACATGTGATGCACATCTCTGCATTACATGTGCATTTGCCTGTTAATCCTGTCAGAAAATAAGTGAGCTCTTCATTTTTTGTGGTGAGCTGACAACACTGCCTCTACTGAACTGAGATCCCAAGCAGTGTTGTCAGCCCTGCCCAGTTCTCCCCTGCTGGACAACAGAACACGTTCCCGTTTACCTTATCTTCATAATCTTCCATCCCAATCAGGGGAGAACCAGGAAGGCTGACAACACTGCTTGGGATTTTATTGTAGTGGACGCAGCATCCTCAGCTCACTACAGGAAGGAGGAGTTCAATGTTTTTCCAGTGAGCTCCTAACTTCCTTTAGCGAGCTGAAGATGCTGCCTCGACTGCACTAAAATCCCAAGAAGTGTTGTCAGCCCTGCCTGGTTCTTCCCTGATGGACTACAGACGATGATGCAGATAAGGGTCATTTTTTGTAACCCTGACCCTTTACAGCATTCTTAAAGAGCCAGAACATGGAAATTGTGAACATGTATTGCAGAGATGTAGTCATTATTGGGTTTTTGCCCAAACATACACCTAAAGCTCCTGAAATTTCATTGACAGGTAGCCTGACGTGACACTAGAAATTGAGCAGTTGAACATGCATTGCAGAAATGTAGTCATTGTTGAGTTTTTTGTCCAAACATACACTTTAAACTCTTGAAATTTCATTGACAGGTAGCCTGACGTGACACTAGAAATTGGGCTGTTAGTGGAAAAATCACAGAGGTGCAGCAACCCCTTCCCTTAATGGCTGTTTGTCCCATGCTTTCCTAGAACATGGCAGAATCTCGCTCGCTGGAGTGCAGAAGCCAGAGGAAAAGGTAGAGATCTTGTTGCTGGTGAGTTGACCCCAGTGGTAGGATTGCTCATGTAACACAGCCCTCACTTTGAAATCACACGGGCTTCAACACTTGTTTCCAACATCTGCTAAGCATCTCATCTGGGGGGTCTGAAAGGGCGTACAATTTCACATTCACTGGACAATGCATCATGGCGCTCTGAACCATTTGGGTCACAATCAAAGGCTTCATGTAGCAGGGTCTAGTGTTGACAGTAAGGACAAAGCTGAACTTGCAAAACACGGGCAATGAATGATCTTCTGCATTCCATGGCCAAATGAATATAGCCTCAGAGGCCCAAGGAGGTCAAGAAAAATGTGTTTGCTTGCAGTTTTTACAAAATGAGATTATATCATGTGACCAATTCAGACACAACAAGCCCTGCCAGCTCATACTGTATAAATAAGTAGCTTACCTTTATCAGCGATTTACTAAATTTAATCTTTCTCTGAGTTGGAACCTCATCTTCTTCTGGTAATCCAGGGATCTCATAATATTCCATGTCTGGCTCGTATGACTTATTTTCATCACTGTCATCATCGTCCCCAGGTTCTGTCTCCTCCCACTCTGCATTATACCGCGAACGCACTCTGTAAACATTATAGCTGGAGTGATCATATGATTGGACAGTGGACAAACTATTCAAGTCGCTGGTAATGCTTGTGCCAACGTCAAGGGACACCGGAGCAGGGGAGGCTTGGCTAGCAGCCTCATTTGTTTCCAAGGCCGTCGGTGATTCTACCGATTTAGTCCTTTCGAAAGCGTTTGTGAAGCTTTCTGACAAATTGCTTTGTTGTACCGTAGGATCGCCTTTTTTCACGTGTCTATTGCGAGGTCCATCATCAGTTCCATCCGCGACATCATTCTTCAGGGTTATGTGGTCGTTTGACGTACTGCAACCAATGCTTTCTCTTTGTACCTCTTTGATTGAGATATGGCCGTCTTCTCTCATCATTTCCCTGTTCATCTGATGAGTAATATCAGTGTCTGTGTCAGTTTCCCTTGATGGCGACCAAGAATTTGCATCAGTTGAATGCCCATAACCATCAAAACTGGTAACTGGGGAGGTTACGATGTTCATCGGGTAATGTCCAGTCACTGAATAACCTTCATCGTTCTCATTTTTCTCCAGATTATTGGAATCATTGTTCTCAAAAACTGCACTAAGTTGGCTCACAGTTGGCGACAAGGCCTCGGTCCTCGAGCTAAGACTGTCCAGAGAATCGGTGCTCCCCCTGTTTGACTTACTTCCGCGCCCTTCGTCGAAAAGTTCACTAGATCTCTGTCTCTCCTTCCTCGAAGAATAGCGGCCACAGTGCCCGGAGTCATTAGCACTGTATTCGAACATCTTCCGGGTTTCTGTAAACTTGGAATAGGAAGGTCCATCCAAAGTGTCAAAGCGGCTAATCCGTTCCGAAATAGCAGTCTTGAGCTTCGCGTCCGCTACGTCCTTCTTTTCCGAAACGTCCCTGGGTTTGGCTTTCCTTTGGGGAGACGATGCCGTGCTTTTGGACTTTCTAATCTCCACTCCATTGTTTTCACCTGGCTCCATGCCCATCTGCATGAACAAGTTTTTGATCCTGTTGACGTTGGACCCATAACGGCGTCCCCGGGTCTGCTGCGTTTGGGGCACATCACCATCCTGTTTCGACTTTTCCTCTCCGTCAGCTTTTGGTTTATCGAAGGTGCTCTTGATCGCCTGAAACTCAGTCCTATAGGCATTCCTGTGGGGCGAGGCACTCCGTAGGGTCGAACGCTCGACTTGCGCTTCTGTTTTCATCATGTTCATTTCAGCATGAGAGCACAATGTACATGGTGACTAAGAAGGCAGCTTCCTCAAAGTTGTGTAGTCATCTGGATTCTTCTTGAGGAACGGTTGAAATATTGCTGTTGTTACATGTCTCTTGTCGAATTATACTTTCAAGTAAATCTTCGAGGCAGGCTGTGGCAGAGACAAAAAAAAAAAAAGAGATGTTTACCAAGGTTATTATAGCGTTGGGTTGCTGATTTTCTAATTACAGCATATCTGTGGCCTTATGTGTTTTGTTCTATAAAACACAAGAGAAACATACTTCAAAAACAACATATTATTTCCTTGTTAAATGAAGCGTTTGAAGGCCAAAGCTAGGACAGCCGCTATAAAAGCAGCTCACTATACCTGGGCCATAAACTATATATTACAAAGCTCAAAGTACTTATGGACTCGTCTTTCTGACATGACGTTTCGCACAGTAAAAAGATCAGACATGTTTTTTCATGACCAGGGAAACAGATTTCAGGAAGCGTATACTGGACATGGCCGAGATGTTTTAGGGCCCATTTACACCACATCATCTCCAGACCAGATCAGATTGTTTCTGGACCCAAAATGCATCCTAATGTATCCCTATGCTATTTCTAGCCTCTGTTCACACCAGCGCAGTCCGTACCAGACCAGACCAGAAAAATACTGCACGTCTCATTTTGTCTGGACTGGAATGCACTGGAACTGCGGGCAGGTTCACACCATTTTCCTGACCAGATCTGGTCCAGAAAATGGTGTGAACCTGCCCTTAATATCTGCTTTTCAAAAATTCAGGACCAAACTGTAATAATTTCCTGGTTTAGGTTGGAAAATAATTTCATCCTCTATCCATGTAAATGACACAGTTGAAGTGGAAAGGTCAGGAGACCAGGGGATGAAGTCAAAGTGAGCGCATACTTTCACCATAAATGAATCAATTCAAATGTCATATGTATGAGCAATGGTAACCTCCATGTTTCCCCAAGGTTTACTTTAAAGTGTATCTAAGACCAACTTTTTTTTTCTTAATTTTGTATAAAGTGAGATTTGTATTGTTAAAGGGTACCTATGGCTATCTATCTATCTATCTATCTATCTATCTATCTATCTGTCTGTCTGTCTGTCTGTCTGTCTATCTAAAAATAAACATGTATTTCTATACTGAATATCCGCAAGTTCTATCTCCCTCCTAATAACCATTTCAATCCATAAGATTGTAAATTTACTTATTGAAGATGCCAGTTGGATATACTTCCTAAAGGCGCTGACACAATTCCACTAAGCCCTGTGAATACGCACCTCCTCGTGTCACAACTCTCGCAGAGCCTACATTCTGAACTACAACTCAACATATGAACAATGTAACATTATCATTGCTTGTTGAAAGCAATGAATGTTGAGATATGCAGTCTTGAGAAATTGAGATTGCATCACATCTAGCAGCAGCGAAAGAGACCCAAAGTAGACTGGGAATCCAGAAAGTTGTTGAAAGTGGGCAGGCGCAAGGCAGCACTCACTACATAAAGGGATTTTTCAAAAACAACTCTAGTATCTATTCCAATGACAGTGCTGATATTATCACAGGATAGTGTAGGCTTTGACTTTAGAATTCCTTTAAAGGTGTGGGAGAAATGTAGGATCCTGGATATTTTGTGCTATATGATTTTGGAATTGGTCAAGAAGATTTCTTGTTAGGTAGCTCTCCATGGAGAGGTCGGAACGTAACTTGGGTACAAACTGATGTGCAAGGAGGAAAGTGCCAAACCTGTTTTGTAGTCCAAAACATTTTTTTTTTTGAAATCGCATCCAATAACATACAATGCGTTTCACAGGTTCAAAGAAAGAGTCTTCCTTTATCAGGGCTATGAAAAACAGTATTTCCTTGTTTTGGAAGGAATTTCCTTACTTCACACTCACTGGTTTCAAGGGAGTTTACCGTTCTAGGGCTGGCTCACACCAGCTAGGTTGGGCTGCATTGGGCAGCGTTGACCATCACAGTCCCAGCACAAGAAAAAGGCACTTTACCTATATTTTTTTGGTTCCAGTTCACACCAATGCGTTGCATTAGTTCTTGCTATGACAGAATGTAGGACATGTTGCATTCTTGCGCAGCACATTCCAACAGGCTGTAATGTATCGCAACGCCCAACAGCGCATGAGAATTACATACAGCTCAGGAAAAAAGCAAGCACTGCGATGCATTTTAACAATAAATAGAATTGCGCAACAGCACGCATTATAACGTACATCAGTGTATTCATGAACCCTTACAGGTCTATTTATAAATCTTCCGCCCAGCCATATGCTAGATGGAGCCAAGGAGCATAGGGAATTGCTGTGCTCTTTGGCTCCATCTTCTGGCCATAATGCTATGCAAAAGTCATTCGCCCAGCGTATAGAAGGGTGGAAGATTTATCAATAGACTCTTTATTATAAAGTATCCTTTATAATAGGGATACAGGTGTATTCTGTAAAAATAATGAAAAAGGAAAAGTGTCCGAATGGCAAGCAATCACGTTCTTCCTTTCCTATATTTACTAGAAATGCAACAGCTGAATTCTGATTGGTTGTTGTGGGTAGAAATTTTTACCTTCACACATATGTCCTGTAACACTGCTATATGGGTGTGATCACTTCAAGTGAAAGGTTAAACAATGGAAAGCAGCTTTGCTATGGTGATAGAAGGCCTCAAAGCATCAATAGGAGTTACTGGTTCTTTGAACACTGATGCTTTTTAATGAAGTCACATTTAGCCGAAGGGCTAAATGCACCTTAGAGGCTAACTACGTCTTTTTCTCTCCCAGCCTAACAATAAAACTACAGAACTCTCACGTGTCACTGCTGTGAATTAACACATGCTCAAACCTAGAGTACATACATAACTGATGTCGTTGTTTACAGACTTATTTAACACAGGGTTTAATTTGTGAAAAAATGGTTCAATATGGACAGTTGTTTTTTTTAATGATGCTGTACTTTTTTTTATTTTATTCTGCGCTTGCACCCTTAGGCCCATGTCACAATAGCACTCCTGTCTCTTATCGCAACTCTGCTTCCTCCCTTCTTGTCTGAAATGCTAGAGCAGCGGTTCTCAATTTTTTTCAGTCATGGCACCCTTTAAAATATGCAAAATCTCAAGGCACACCAATCTAAAATGTAAAAAACGACAGGTGGCCCCTCCAAAATCCACACAAGAACCTTAGTCCTCAGTCCCCCTTAGCATCAGATTCCTCAGTCCCCATCCCTTCACATCAGAGTCCTCAATCCCTCTTCAAATAAGAGTCCTCAGCCCCACTTTGCATCAGTCCTCAGTCCCCCTCAGTTACCCCCTTAGCATCAGAGTTCTTAGCCCCTCTTCACAACAGAGTCCTCAGTCCCCTCTTCACATTAGAGTCTCCCAAGTACATCAGGGTCCTCAGTCCCCCCAGTACATCAGAGTTCTCAGTCCCCCTTTGATATCAGAGTCCTACCATTACATCAGAAGACACAGCTGTGGCAGCATGGCAGAGGCGAACTTTTGTCTTTTCTGAATGGGTCCCACCCTCCACTTTACTAGCGGCAAACCTGCCTGCACCATGGAAATGTATGACACCGCCTAAAAATTCCAAGGCACCCCTGAGGAAGCCAGAAGGCACCTTTGTTGAGAAAGGCTGCACTAGAAAATCATACTTTCCAGCAAGGGCACATCTTTGAAGTGACACCTCACTGGTTTGGCCAGAAAAAGAGTGCGCCGTAGGAGCAGGAACAGGTCCGTCTTGCTTTTTCAGCGATCCTGTAAGTTGCCACCTTCAGGAGTATTGCTGGTGTGACATGGTTGATTTCAAGGGACCATGGATGGGGCAAAGTGCTTCACTGCAGCTCAATGTACCCCCAAAAAACTACTGGCTCATCGCAATGATTTTCCTCTTAGCTCCTTTTTTGTGGAAAAACTCTTGTCTACAGAGCTCAATTGCTCAAGCTGGAATTTGAACCCAAGTAAAAGACAAAACAGCACGGCACATGAGGAGGAACAAATCAAGTCAGCTCTCATCTCGACTTTAAAAATCTGCTCCTTTTGGCTTTGCCTGCATAAAATCCCTTACATGCATTGGTTGACAAGAGCAAAGCTGAAAGCATAAACGTATTGGGTGTAAACTTTTACCACCATTTTGGGAAAAAAACAGCATTCATAATGTGCATGAGTATGTACATTCACCCTACGGTGCCTACAGTCACAGGCAATTCCAGCAATCCAACGAACTTCTCATTAAATAAATGCTGCTGGCTAACAAAAATCACATACCAGTGCCTTGCTGGCATCGTGACAGCTGGATGGTTTATGGGCTCTGTTGGGGCCAATCCCGGAGTCAGCCAAAGAGGATTTCCAGCAAAATCTGGAAAAATCTCCTGCAAACAATTTCCGATAATTCTCTTTTTTCCAATTCGCTTGATGATATCAGGCTCCAAATGTAACACTGAACGACTCTGGAGGGTTTGTTTCAAATGGGCCCAATGAAGCACATTTGTTTTGTGAATAAGCAGATGTCTGAGGCCATGTCAGGAGCCAGGTCAACAAAACGCCTAAAATAAATGAGACCCTTCACCTGACTTTTTTGAGTCTTTTGCTTTGTTGGAAGCCACCATAATGCCTGGCTCCATATAACCAGCAGCTGGCCAAAAAAAATAATTGCTGAAAGCTATGGTTTTTGTTTTCCTCTCATAGTGTAGTGAAGCCTGAAGGTACCCAAATAGAACTCCTATGATGAGGAGCATCTTGAGTTAGGAGTGTTACGCAGGAAAGATTTGGTTCCAAACTTTAGATGAAAGCGGTAAATAATACACAGCCAACACATTTTGGGGGATTTGGACGCTTTTAGTGGTAATGTCAGGTGTTGCCATGGAACCATTGTTGGAGCCCGCTAAACTCAGGAGCTAAATCTTAAAAATGCGTTAAAGTACCTACAAAAATGTATCTTATTTTTGTATCACTCGGCTGTAGACCCTCAAATCATCTCTGAATTGGTGCTGACACTGTCCTTCCTTCTGGAGGGGGGGCTACTTTTGTTCCCCATGGTCCCTGTGTCTGTTGCAAAGTAGTCGCCGCTCCAAGCTCACTCCCATGATGGGCTACAATCTCACTAAGGCTGGGTTCGCACCGTTTTTGCGCATTTGTACACATGTTAACAGCATTCGGTTATTTGCGCGTTTGTGCACATTTGTATGCGCGTTTTAACGCGCGTACATGAAGACGTGCATTTTGATTGGCAGCTCATAAACCATTGTGGGCAGTGGAAGAACGCGCGTATAAACGCACAAAAACGCCCATGAAAATGTACAACATGCTTCTGTTGTGCGTTTTTGGGCATTTCCAATTAAGGCTATGGGGAGGAAAAGCACTTTTAACTGCCCAAAGAAACTCCTGTATATTTTTGGGCGTTTGGTGTTTTTCTGCTAGGCGTCTTTCTGCTCAGGTGTGAACCAGGGCCATTGAAAATCATGGGATTTCTTGTGTTGGGCCGTTAAAAGCGCCTTTTCGAACTGCTCAAAAACTCCTAGGTGTGAACCAGGGCTTATAGTTGACTCATTTGTATTGAGATTGTAGTACATCACAGGAGTGAGCTTCTGGAGCGGTGACTACTTTACAACACACACAGGAACCATGGGGAACAAAAGTAGCCCCCCTCCAGAAGGAAGGACAGTGTCAGCACCAATTCAGAGATGACTTGAGAACCAAATCTTTTCCTGCATATGACTCATCACTAGACACTTCCGCTCAGGATTCACACGAAGTCCCAACGACTATCCATCAGGGAACCCGAAGCCAGAACCCTACAGTTTGACAAATACCGACCCTGAAAATGCAATTTTTTTCACTTCGATAAGTTGACAGCAGAAGATGTCTGCAGACATCCTTCCACCCTTCATAATGGCATACAATTGAATGCTTGGTGGAGTTTATGTGACAGCCGAGCAATGAATCGCAGTTCAACGATGTCTATGTACAACCATTCTCTTCAGCCCATGGGCACCCTTAGGGCTCAGTGACACTAGATGCAGTGCGTTCTGGCCCGATTTTGGCCAGAACTCACTGCCTCGTATTAAGGCCGACTCACTTTTTAGTGGGGCAGGAGGGGGCGTGGCGGGCCCTTCAAGTGAATGGCGCCGTAGCCACGCCCTCCAGCCGCAATACGATCCGCCGCACGGGATCGCAAGGCACATTGTGCCTGCGGTCCGGTCCTGTGCGATCAAAATAGTGCTTGCAGCATTTTAATCGCACCGCACAGGATCGGACCGCAGGCACAATGAGGGGAATTTATCAATACTGGAGCAGACAGAATCTGGAGCAGTTGCCCATGGCAACCAATCAGCATCCACCTTTCATTTTCAAACCTTAACTGAACAAACTGAAGAGAGAAGCTAATTGGTTGCCATAGGCAACTGCTCCAGGTTTGATAAATTCCCCCCAATGTGCCTTGCGATCCCGTGCAGCGGATCGCATTGCAGCCGGAGGGTGTGGCTACGGCACCATTCACTTGAATGGCCCTCCATGCCCCCTCCTGCCCCACTAAAAAGTGAGCCGACCGCAATGCGAGGCAGTGCGTTCTGGCCAAAATCAGGCCGGAACGCACTGCATCTAGTGTGACTGAGCCAAAGAGATCTTCACCCAAACAGATAAATGCAAAATTGAAATGCATATACATTAATTGTTTTCTCCTGAAAAAAGATTTTGTCCAATTCTGAGCAGCCAGCTGCGTAACTTACTCATTCTGCCACACTGCACAGCCAGGAAACTCACACTACTACTTCCTGGTTCGCCTTACTGCTTCTTCAATCACCTTCCTTCTCATTGGACAGAAGTAACGACTTTGCTTTAATGTCCACTGAGCTGGCTGGAGGAGGAGAGGTGACAAGGGCAACTGAATTGCGGAACCAGCAAATGAGTGTGTCACCTGCCTGGCTGATGTGTTTAATTCACAAAGCTGGCTGCACAGAATTACCAAAATCAGCAGGTAAAATAATTCCCATATATGTATTTGTGTACACCAGGGTTAGGCAACCTTGGCACTCCAGCTGGTGGGGAATTATAAGTCCCATGAGGCATTGCAAGCCTCTGACAGCCCTAAGCAGGGCTCCTAGTGTCAGAAGCATGATGGGATTTTTGCTTTTATTGCAGCTGTAGTGCCAAGGTTGCCTTCTCCTGGGGTACACATTTATTAACACAGCCAGGTTAAAAAGGGCAGATACAGCTTCTGTAATGAGGACGAAATACTGGGCAGCAACTTTCTTCCTGCCACTGCAGCACAAATGCATTGGCAGACCCATTTACAAGAAAAGAAAACAAATATTCACATGCTTCTTGAGAGATTTGCAACCCGCTGGAAAATCTTTATGAAACATATATTAGGAAAGACAAAAACAGTTGTCTCAGGGGCCAGGTCACAATCATTTACCCCACTTGGCTACATTTGCTATGGCCCAAATTCTTGAAGCTGGCACCCCGTGTATAAACTGTAATGACAGAATTGAGAGGAAAACGTCTTACAAGATTTCAGGTATAATGTGGCTAGGAAGAAGACTTATCCCGCCACCCCAGTAATCTTTGCTGTCCTAGGCCACAGCCTGTCCTTTCCACAAACCCATGTCCTCTAAGACTATCCTACATGTACCTGTAACTTCATTTCTTCCATTGTTTGTGTTCAGTGACTAGGGAATTGTGAAACTCAACCCCACAATCAATAATTCTGAAGACTTAGCAACCAGAGAAGGTTTAAAAAAAAAAAAGAAGAAATACGTGTTTAATGCCGAAGTGATATTACACCACGATGGAGCCGAGGCTCACATGCCCAGGAGGAAGGCTAATTGAATGAAGCACTAAAATGCAGACATGATCAGTTCCCATGCTGAGATTCTGCGCGCTGCTCCTGCACTGCATGGAGGACAGAGTTCCCAGCACCGCGCGCCACCAATAATCTTTACCTTTTACCTGGCAAGAGATAAATGATAACCGGCTCAGT